GGCCGGAAGCCCTCAAAAGGCGGTTCCGACACGCTCCAGAGCTTGGGTGGAGGTTTGGGTGGATTGCGCCCTGCAAGTTGCGGCGCCTCGTCGATGGCCGAGGGAGCCATGGTGGTGAAGTGGGAGCTGGAGATGGGGATGCGGCAGGTCCAAGATCAGGGCGTTATCTCATGTCGCGGGTCGGAGATGTGGCGTGTGTGCCTGGCTAGCGCGATTGGTGCTGAGGATGCGCGGCATGGCGACTGCGGTGTGGTGAGGCTCTTGCAATGCTCGGTGGTCCGAGCCCGTCTCCGTATGTTAGGTACGCTACTTCACATGCCGACGGTCTGGATTGCAGTCTTGCACATAGTGCTAACATGATCATATCTCATTACTGGTATCTACTGGCCTGTTTGCTATTTCCACGTCCTGTAATCGAATTTCTCACTAGATTTGGCCTTGCCTTGGGTATTGTCCCCTTCACACCAAGTATATCTCATCTTGCATGCTTAAGCAGGATCCTTCAGACCATTTGTTGCTATGGCTCGTTAGCGCTATTACAAAAGCATCCCAGCATGACTATGTAGATACCTTCCAGGTGGAAAAGAACGTTAGATTGGTAGTTCTTGAACATCTGAGCCACAAGCTCCGTATCCATGTTTTGGATGTTGATCTCTTGCAGATTCTTGTTCAACATCATGACGGCCTCGTTCAGCTTCTCCTTTCCGGTAGTCAGCATTGTTTTCGTTGTGCATCGACATGTTGAATTGACTCACGACGTTCACAATGATGCGAGAGAGCAACTGGCTCTGTTGGTGCTCGTGAGGGCTTTCCTAGAAATGCGGTCAGAACTACGCGCCGGTTGCAATAGATTTCTGATGCCGTCCTACCATTTTTGGCGACTCGATAGTGTTGCAGTTGATAGTACGCGTTGGAGCTGTTTGGTGGGGAGGATGAAAGCAGTTAGTGCAGAGGATGCACATGCAGGTCCCGAGACGGAACCTTGGAAGAGCTCCACCTCCGCAAGCTCCATCGCGATACAAACACCGAGACTCTTCTACGTCCCCAAACGTTCTTGCCACAACGTACACCCGAGCATCACGACACCTAGACACATCCCATCGGAACCTCGTTCGCACACAATCAAAACTTGGACATCGGCAAGCGAACAGCGCGACGAGACCACCGACTGCGACTTGCTGGCTTCTTGACAACTCACAATATGGCACCCCTAACAGCGGCCTCTGACGACAAGACGCATCAAGCGCTCCTGGACAAGCTTGACGTCTACGCGGTACCCAAGCCTTTCCGCAACCCCAACTGGAAGCCTCCACAACGCCGCAACAAGAACCTCAAGCAGATTCTCGGTGAGGCATCGCGCAAAGAAGCCTCAGTAATGGCCACGCAGAACAACAGTGGCAACTCGACACCTGCCGTGGCCACTGAAGGCAACGCAGGCCGCCAACCCAACATCGCCCAAGCAGCCCAGAGCCTGAGCACGCTGGTGCTGGAGAAGAACGGCAGGGCTGCTGCCGGGCCGGCGCCTACATACACCAACATCGAGTCAGCCCCGAGCTTCCACCCGAGCAGTCAAAAGAAGTACTGCGACATCACCGGCCTTCCTGCGCCATACACCGACCCCAAGACGCGTCTACGCTATCACAACAAGGAGGTCTTTGGAGGCATTCGGACCATGCCGCAGAATGTATCCGAGGGTTATCTCGCCGCCAGAGGTGCACACACAGTCTTGAAGTGAGCATGTCTCGGTGCTGGCGTAGCTATTGCTGCTCCAAAGTCGACTCATCGGCATGCGTCTTGCACGGGTGGCGCATCGCTCAACTCATCAAATACACGACTACTCGTCCATTCGTTGATATGCGCAAAACCAAGTAAGCTAACAACATGCCTCTGAGCCGGGCGAGGAACACTGCTCAGATAGGGTCTTATTCAAGGTTTATGTATGATCATCAAAGTCAAACTACTCTCCACCCACCACATGCCTCTCGGCTTGTGGCTCAAGGAGGTGCTCCGGCTTAACCGTGATCCAGTATTCTTCTGCGCCCATAAGACAGGATACCAGGGCCTCGAGGGAGGATTCCTAGTTACAGCAGCTTGAAGCATGCTGTTGTCAGGGCGGGATCTATGTTGTAATGATAATTCGAGTGTCTTGTAACTACAAGCGAACAATAAATCGATTGCTCTTTCCTGCTGAATATCAGAGCCTTGTCTAGCTGCTCTTGCGTTAGATGGACTCGAGAGGTGTAGAGGTTGAGGAGCATGCCACCAGAATTTTATGCGATTACCCGCGGGAACTGCAGCGCTAGCAGGGGTGAGCTTCGGGCCGACCGTCGATTGAGCGCGCCGCGTCTTCACTCGCAAGGGGACACGAGACAGCAAGACGAAAGGTAGCACCTTCATGCCAGATATACATCGAGACTAGGCACCACTCTACTACTTCTCCTCTCTTACGCCGTCTTCTTCCACATCGCTACGGAATTTCGCACGCCGCGCACTGTACAAACAACAAAATACCAAGATGCCGACTATGTGGCTTTCAGACACCCAGAGTAAGTTACGCAAACATGCAGCCTCAGTCACCGCATAGGACATGAGCTAACAGCAATGACAGAGATTGGGGTCGCCTTCTGTTCAGGGGGTAGGTACGCGCCCACCACCACGAATGCGCCCACTACTCAGCAGAAGATTGACAGCATGAACAGGCGGACTCTTTCTGATGGGAGGTGTCATGATGTTTTTTGATCGCGCAATGTACGTTTCAACTCTGCATATACGTACAGCCTTTACTAACATGCGAACAGGCTAGCAATGGGAAACGTACGTCTTCGACCTCCTCGAACCAAGTCCTCCGCTATCGAACCCTCCCTAATACCCCCAATAGATACTCTTTCTGATTGGTCTCACACTCATCATCGGAACAACGAAAACCGTCGCCTTCTTCGCGCGCAAGCAGAAATGGAAAGGCACAGTGGCATTTGTCGCTGGTATATCACTTATCCTGATGCGCTGGGCTTTCATCGGTTTCATAATCGAACTGTACGGCATACTTGTGCTGTTTGGAGACTTTCTCATGACCATTGCGGGCTTCGTCAGCAATGTACCGGTGATTGGGCCATATATTGCCAAGGCACTGGAAGCGATAAGCGGTGCGAGGCGAAATGCTGATCTGCCTGTTTGAGATGCGAGGGACAGTATCAGGGCTACGACTTTGACGAGCTATGGATAGGAATGCTAGGATATTGTATTATACGCAGATGCACAGGTGGCGGCCGGGAGTTGGTAGATATACGAGCTTGGATGAGCATGAATGGAAGGATGGCAAACACAGTGACTAGATGGCTCACGAAGCGCTTGTCTTTGTATCTTCTACGAATCACTAGGTGCCCGAGGCATGATTCCAGAACATATCCGTATGTGAAGACAGTGGATCTATTACAGCTCTTGTATAGTGACTTCATACATTACAAGTGCAGCTTGTTCCATCCAAATGCTGTTGTATAATGGTGGCGTGAGAGATGCTCCGAGTCGCAGGTCGGGTAGGTGGCATGGGATACCTTCACGTGGTTTCGCGTTGACGCGTTTTCAGGTTCCCCGCGATCGCGTAAGTGATCCGTCGCCGCACTTACCAAACTGCAGTCGCGCAGTCAAATCACGCCTCTTTACATCTCATTCAAATTTATCCAACATCCTTCTCACGCAACATGTCTCGCGAAGAATCACCTTTCGTGCGCGCGCCGGCCGAAGACGAGGGTTACAACGGAATCCATCGCGCATTCCTACAGGCGTTCCATACGCACAGCGTCCTCACAGTAGACGAAATGAAGTCTATCCTCGCCCATGTGATGACTGCACACAGTCCGTTCTCTTTACGCCATTGCCATTGCACAAGCTGACAACACCGACAGACCCCGAACGCCCATGGACAGCAGGCGACGTAACCCAGCCAAACATCACGTCCACCATACAAACCATAAACGCTAAAATCGAAGCCTTCGACTACGAGATCCGATCAACACGCGATCAGCAAACCAAAGAAAGCATATACGCCCTCGTTAACAACGCAAGCGACACCGTCACACAATTCGCTACCACCTTCTCCGCAAACGAAATCGCATACATCAGACGCGTCCTCGACCAAATGTTTGAGACGAATAACACCAACATTCGCGAAGTCATGGCGGTGAAGCATACAGAAGCCTCACAGCTTGCTCGCACCTCACGCCGGAACAGACAGAGTCAGGCAAACAGCAGACAGAGCCAGATCAACGGCGATGCAGACGACACCCAGGCCAGCGCTGATACGGGAATAACAATAGCCGAGGCAGATCAGGTCCTGGAGACACTCGTCTCGCAAGCCTTCTTCCAAAAGTCCAAAGCGGGTTACTATTCCCTGGCTCCACGCGCGCTCATGGAACTCCGCGCTTACCTCAAAGAAACGTACAACGAGTCTGCCGAAGAAAACGAGGATGGGCGGGAGATCATCAGGATCCGGGATTGTGAGGGGTGTAAGGAGATTGTTACTTTTGGCATAAGGTGCAACAACAAAGAGTGTGGGGTTCGGTGGCACGATGCGTGTGCTAATAGCTACTATCGAGGCAGAAGCGGGGATCGTAGGAAGTGTCCAAAGTGTCAGACGGAATGTACGGGAGACGTGTTTGTAGGAGAAAGGGCGGCTTGGACGGGAGCAAGGACGAGCACTGGCGGTAATCGGCGCAGCACGCAGCAGCAGGAAGTGGTAGACGAGGAAGAAGATGAGTGAGAGCACGTGATAAGAGCCAGGAACGTCAGAACGAAGATACCCGTGGGCATTCAGGCGTTGGATGTTTTGTGATTTGGAGTTGAAGCCAAGAATTTTGATTGGTTCCATCATGTATCTCGTTCATCGATCATAAGTCAGTCCCTATCGTCTCATCCATATCCCAAACTCTCTAGACTTTTGCCAACGCCAAATACCCCATACTATATACATAATCTAACCCGAACACTGCACTCGACAGATGCGTTTAGTGTGCACCGTTGGACTTGCTCTGGTTTGCCCGCCTCTCGGCGACAGCAGACGCAAGGTTCTCGAGAGTGTCGACGGTGCTGTCCCAGTCGATGCAAGCATCTGTGATGGAGACACCCTTCTTCAGACCGCTAGGTCCCTCAGGTGGGACCTTCTGGTTGCCCTCGTTGATGTTGGATTCGATCATGACACCAACAATGCCGGTCTCACCGTTGCGGATCTGATCGGCAATGTCCTTGGCTACGAGGGGCTGGTTGCGGTGGTTCTTGTTGGAGTTGCCTGTCAGACATTAGTGTGTGTTGGTAGAGCATTATTGTATACGGGAACGTACCGTGTGAGCAGTCGACCATCATGACCTCAGGCAGGTTCTTCTTCTTCAAAGCCTCCCTGGCAGCCTTGATGCTGTCCTTGTCGTAGTTGGTACCCTTGGATCCACCACGAAGAATAACGAAGCAGTGCTCGTTACCTGCCGTCCTGGTGATAGCAGCCAGACCTTGCTTCGTTACGCCCATGAAGTGGTGCTTAGCAGCAGCAGCACCAATCGCATCGACCGCCACGGTCAAGCCTCCATCGGTGCCGTTCTTGAATCCAATAGGGAAAGAGAGACCAGAGGCTAGCTCACGGTGCAATTGTGACTCGGTTGTTCGTGCACCAATAGCACCCAGAGAGATGAGGTCGGCGAGGAACTGTGGAGAGATAGTGTCGAGCATCTCGGAGGCAATAGGCATGCCCGCGGATGTGAGGTCCACGAACAACTTGCGCGACACTCTCAGGCCCTTGTTGATCTTGTAGCTCTCGTCAATGTCTGGGTCGTTGATCAGGCCCTTCCAGCCGACGGTTGTGCGTGGTTTCTCGAGGTAGGCGCGCATGATGATGCAGAGGTTGTCTTGAAGCTTGTCTGCGAGGGCCTTGAGGCGCTGGCAGTACTCGAGTGCCAGCTCTGGGTCGTGGAGCGAGCAGGGCCCGACCATGACGAGGAGACGGTCATCCTTCTGGGTAATGATGCTGGCAGCGTCCTTGCGACCTTGAATGACGGTCTTTTCGGCATGTGCGGGGATGGGGATCTCGGACGCGAGAAGTTGGGGTGGGATCAGCGGGTCGTAGCCAAGTACGCGCACATCGTCGCTCGGATTGATAGACATGTCGGGTGTTTCCGTTGCAGCGGGAGCCATTGTACAGTGAGTAGGCTATCTTTATGTGTATTAGTAGGCTGTCTAAGCGACTGTCAATTTGCGGTCAGTCTTACTTGGACTGTAGCACAGACGTATGCGGATGTACAGCAGCGAGGTTGTACAGGGCGTGCAGTAGAGTGCAAGGAGGGGCGTTGAATGTCTCAAGTCAGGAAATCAAGCGCGCAGATGGTGTATGCAGGCGCAGGTCCGAGGTCGGCGAGAATGACAGGCAAAGGATATAGTGAGGGCGTTGCAGATACAGTCATATGCCACCAAATTATTTGGGAAACTTTAGGTCGGGGTGGGGCTCATGGTTGGTTCTGGTCCCGCAGGCTATCGATACACCGTCGACGGAGCTTTGCAGCTGCATGTGCGCCAAGCTCGTTACCCTGGAATTGGGAATCGCCCTCTTCCAGTTGGTCAATGTACGTTTATGTTGCTGCTGGAGCTCGACGACGGCGTGCACATGACCTTTTCCTCTTGGTGTAGTCTGCAGATCGGCCTGGTTTTGAATTCTGGTATGAGGTGGCAGCTGGCAGGCTGGATGGAAACGTTGGCGGCACTGTCTGACCAAAGCTGCAGCAACGGCTCACTCAGCCCGTATCCCTTCCAACAGCATCTCTCCGACCCCTAGAGGCCTGCATTCAGCTTGCGACATGTCCAGGTGGCTACACACACACGCCTCCTGCCACATCCCGCCATGACAAGTGAACGTATGCTCCTCCCCCCTTCTCCTTAGACATGCAGATACACAGCCCACGTGATGCCGTACCTGCCTCGGTTTCGGCGAGTTCAAGGTTTGGCTTCAGTTGCCAATCACCACTCCACCACGCTAAGCCACACCATCGTCGACATCATCGCGACTATCTCTCGCACGCACCGCCGGCAAGCGACACCTCGGGCTGGATCTGGACGGGCCTCCAACTCCCGGCAACCAAGTCGCAAGTTCCCCCCACAGTCGCTTGAGGCGCGCGACTCCACCATCCAAGCCTTGGTTCTTTTCATGCGACCTGAAACAGCGCCCCTGATAGTCATATCAACCCCCCGCCCGGCTTGCGTCAAACATACCGACCAGGTCTCTCGATCGCAGTCCCGCTTCCTCAGCCGCACCCCTCTCGACCCTCACTGCACCACCACAATCATCTCGTTACCATTCCACCGACGCGTTGATCGCGTTGCGCCGACGTAAGGAAGGACCACTCGTTTAGTCTACATCACCATGTCTGCATTTCACTTCATGGCCAGGAAGCGAGGGCGCGACGACGATTCAGACTCGGATTTCGACGAGGAAAGGTACCTCAAGGTATGTCGGCAATATCGTGTGCCGGGCTTTGGCTAATGGCGGTACAGAAATCCCGACCGGGCAGCAACGAGCCGACCAACCATGACCAGCTCCAACATCAATCGCTATCGACCCCACCAAGACTCTTTACAGACATCCGGTCCATGACACCGGCACATTCAGAATATGGAGGAGCAAATTCGCCGGATTCCATATATGGTGGACCTGTCTGTATATCAAGAGAATCAAGTGGGATGGACATGGATATGGATATGGACGACGATGACATGGATGTTCGGAGCCAGCCGCCAGAGTCGCCCGCCTTCAACTCGTTTGGCAGCAACTTCATGCGACCGCCCATGCTCCAACCATCGCTATTCAACTCAGATGCCGTCAACAACAATAGTCGGATACCGACACCCATACACCCGACTTTTAAGAGAGGAGGGATGAGCGGATTGGGTTATCCGATGAGCGGATCAGCCGGTGGCATAGCTATGAACAACTCGAATGTACCGTCCATGCAGGCACCTCCACCAGCCTGGAAGGGACAGAGGCAGGATGTAGACGAAGATCGGACTAGACGCATGCCTTCACCCATATCCGAGGACGATGACATTCCAGATACGCCAACCGCTTTCACCCAGTCACAACTATCGCGACTTAGTTTTTCGCACACCAGTACGGCCGATCAGATGGATACCGAGTCATCCTCCACCTTGGCCCCACCTTCGACGCCTCGCGGAAGGAAACGAAGCGGTGCTTTGACCGGTATGGGACGTTTCAGTATGGGTTACCGGGAAGACTGCGAGAAGTGCAGACAGCGGGTTCCAGGCCACTATTCACATTTCCTACCATAGAGAAGGTGGGCCTAGAGACAGCGGACTCGGGTCATTGGGGTACGACAGCATGGCAAACCTTGGTATTTGCCCATAACATTCGCATCACGACACTCACCTACACGGGCTCTTCAAACTTCGTCATCATCATTATCCACACTTACGGCGTGGCGTTTTCATGCCTCATAATCGGCGTTTCATCAGCATGGCGTTCCAGGAGTCTTATCATGCGTTAACGATATCCCTCTAAATGTACAAGTATTCTACTATTCGACGATAGCAATTCCAAAAAAGACACTCGTCATCGTACTTGCCACTTGACTGAACGCATCATTGTGCACCGCTCTGTTTCTTAACTGTGCCCAACTATAGCATGTCAGAAACACTTATCGGGCCTTCTTCTCCGGCACCACGAAAAGAAGGCGTGCAACAGTATACATCGGCAGGTTTTTTCCAAAATGCAATACGGTATAGCGTTACGGTTAAGGCCAGCAGAACATGGCACTGTGTGAAACAAGTGGGACCCGGGGTGTAGTGAAACGAAACGGCACAGCGCTTCCTGTGGCGCAAAGCGAATCTCGTCATTTGTGAAACGAACGATCTGAGGGTTCAGAGTAGGTCTAGACCAGGTTCGCGGTTCTCTTGTGCCGTGGTGTAGATTTCGAACGACAACGAAGGGACTAATCAGGAAGGTGCGACGGGGATGCTTTATGTGAGGCATGTAAGGCGGCCATTCGGGAGTTGGCAAAAGAGTGCAATTTCCGTAGACGATGTGTCAGTTAGGAATTTTGTATCGGGAAACCCACCAGTGGTGTACGTCGAACGGAGAGGATCAATGATGTCGATTCATGAAGAAGAGTTTTGTGCACTTGTCTCTACATTACGGGACGTGATCAAAGTAGCTTACTATGTTCGCGCGGTCCTTCTACAAGCAGATGCTCATTTTTTAAGATGCATCATATGCCGGTATACTTGATTGAGAATCTTATAAAAACGGCGAGCATTTTAGGATGTGTCCTAGATCCAATAACAACGAGCAAACTTGGCGAGGTGGTCGTAGCATAACCAACAAGATCTGACTTGGACATCAACTCCGGGGATAGAGCAATACGAAATAAGAGAAACCATCATAGTGATTCTTGCCAGTTCCCATGAACTCATCTACTACCGTCTAGCTAGAATCTTCCTCGTCGGCTGGTGGCAGCCATCGTATGATGCGCCAAATATCCCTGATCTCATAATAGCATTCATAATGTTTCTTTGCGTACCGAATGGCGCGTGAGCGGTTATCCATAGCACTGATGTCAGGATCAGGTAAATTTGCTAGCAGCTTCTCGTAGTATGGGTTACAGCGCTCCGCGGGACCCCGGGGCTTCTCTTTCATATACTCACGGTACCGGTATGCAAAGGCATAGGGGTCTTTTAGAATCGGAATAGGTTCAGTCATGACTACAGTAGTTACGATACAAAAGTTGTTTCCCGCGAGTGCGAAGTTAATGTGGAAGTTTGTGGCTTGGTAACGTAGTTGTAGATCAGGTTGACATCAAGCGGCTTTGTGACATTGTGAATCGTCGCGCAACAAAGCTTGAATAGACGACCTATTGGGGGAGCCCTTCCTATGCACAGCATTGTACTAGAGGAGCAGCAGCCTGGAAGAATTTCGTGAGTGGTGAGTGAGAAGACCTCGGGATACCGAAATCACTCTAAACGCCCATGAAAAAAGACAGAAAAGGCTGGAGGACTGTACATTTGTTCGCAGAGAAACTGAATGAAGTTTGCTGCTGGTGAGCAAGGCTATCCTTTGCCGGAGCTTTATTGAGAATGATTCGAGGACCGACGGCGGAAATGACCTATCGAAGCGTAGCTGTAATAGGAATTGCTCTTGTTCGTCAATATAAACGATGTGAGATGATCAAAAAAGCGATGACAGAGGAGGAATGCAGCAGCAGCAAAAAGTGACCCTCCTGCAATGGTGGCATGAAGACGTCTGAAGTACGTACGTGGACGCAACTGGAGGAACGCTTGCCAGAGGCATCCTATCAAGAGGTATAAAATGGGATGTGATAAAATAGAGTACAGACTCCACCGTATATGCTCAGCGACGTAAACAAGGTGTGCAGCGGATATAATGCGAAGCCGTTGGAGCGCTCATGTTCCCTTGACCTCGGTCGCAGCTGCATCTGTTTTTTGTGGGGCGCAGCATCTTGGCGCCCGCGCTTGCGGGATAGCAGCTAGCGCTAACGCTAAGGGTCTGGCAAAAATTGAGCTTCCGAAGAATTTCTCGAACACCACTTCAACATGTCGTCGAAGTCGTACGTTGTCCCTACACCACGCGCAGTTTCCAAAGCTAATCCTTACCCAACAGAACTGTTCCCACACAGAGTGAGATCACTCTCGTGCCTGAGAACCTCCTCAAGAAGAGGAAGTCTCAGGAGAAGGCTCGTGAGGAGCGCGCGATCGCAACACGCGAGAAGCGAGGTACGACCAACCCCAGCATGCTATCGACGATCCATGAGGGCGATTACGATGATTATAACTACCACACTATCGGCTAGACTACGGTCAATGTTGTCGAATTGTTAACCATCTTTCGGGAATGATGCAATCGCCCTCACTGGAGCTCATGGCATGACACACTGTTGCAAACAGCGCTGACATGACACAGACAAGAGCAAGAAGAAGCGCGAGGTCATCTTCACGAGAGCTGAGAAGTATGTGAAGGAGTACCGCGATGCCGAGCGGGAGCGCGTGCGCTTGTCGCGCGAAGCCAAGAAGAGCGACAGCCTATACGTCCCCGCCGAGCCCAAACTCGCCTTCGTCGTCCGGATAAAGGGTATCAACAAGATTGATCCCAAGAAGCGCAAGACACTGCAACTTCT